TTGGCTTTGCCGTCCGTCTCTTGCGCAGCCTCTGATGCTGATGAAGTTTTCGAGCGCCTTGACTTACCTCTGCCTCACCTGCCAATGTTGCAGCTTTTTAGTGTTTCCAGATAGAGAGATTCAGGTGGGAATAAACTGCTGGTGCTCCGGGAAGGGGCTTTCTTCCTCCCAGTGTTTGTCTGGAAGCGTTCGCAAGGAAAGAGGAAGGACGGGGCAGAAGAAAAGAGCACGAGGGCTGGCACAGGTTGCTCAGCACCGCTGTGTCACGGCCCTGCCACGAACGTGCCCTTGGGGCTGAGGGAGATGGCAGCAACTGAATTAGCAGCAGCCTTTCGGGCTCTGCTTCACAGCCTCCCCGGCAGCTCCTTCCACGAGCTTCGGGCATGTCTCAGGCTTCAGGCTTAGGCAGGAGTTTCTTTTCTCATTTTCTTTTCCTTTGGGGCCAAACATCCCTCGGGATACATCTGAAAGGCTGGCTTTAGAGGAGGTGGCAAAGCAAGCAGCGCCATGTTAAGGGTCATGCCCTACCAGCAAAATTCCTGCCATTTGTATAAGGGCCTGGATGCCCAGGGAAGTATTCAGAGCTGCCGCAATATCTAGATAACGCTTTATATCCTCCTAGCAACTCTATAAAGTAGGGAATCACTTTATCTCTGTTGCAAAGACAGGGAAGCCAAGGCAAGAGGAGACAAGAGAACTCCAGACAGAGCCGCGATGGTACATAGACACTTGGATGCCCGCTCATGCTTGGCACTTGATTACTGTAATGGATCTGAAGGGAGTGATTTATGGAAAGTCACTCAGGGAGCCTCTGCCTCAGTTTCCCCACCTCTGCTTTGTCTATCTTAGTGCATTTCCTGAGAGAGAGAGGTGTTTCAAAGTCTTAGTTAAGTGTTGTTTATAAATAATGCAGGAATCTGGGGATGAAAGACTCCCCAGAAGGGCAAAGTATCATGCTTTTCCCGTGCACTTGCTTATCTGAATACTTCCAAGTCCCGCAAAGCCAGATCTTACTGAGCATGCACCAAGTATGATTTAATATGAGATCACTGGTAAATTATTAATCATAACATACATTCTGCAGCCTGCCAGAAATGATTATTAACGTCACTAGGTTATGTCTGTAGTGAGTAGCAGAGGGTGTGTGAGGCTTTTTTGCTCATGCTACTTAAGTGAATGATAGCTGGGAACATTAAAATCAACAAGATACAGGGCTGTTCCTCCCTTCAAGAGTATGTCTGAGAGCAGCTTCGGCTTGTCTGGCACAGATGATGTTTGGTGAAGCATTAAATAAACAGTGTCAGAAAGCTACCGGTGTTCTACATATGGAGTGCCAAAGCGAAACTAAGAAATAGCCTGAAACTTTTGCGTTGAGTTAGGCTGTCCGCAGCAGCACATCGTGATAATCTCTGCCCACAGAGATGCTTTTCACAAACTGTTGGAGACTTTGAAAGTTGAAATCTGTCTGTTGATTTCAAGCTTGACTTTTGTGCTGTCTTTGATTTTGTGTTCTTGGCCTGGTTTGGGGCTGAGAAGTGACTGGTGGTCAGGGTTAAGATGTGGCTGCATGAGCAGGCGGTGAGAAGGTGCTGGGTCAGGGAACTCCCCAGCAGCCTGATGTGAGGCAACGTGCTCGAGGTGGTGGCAGGAAGGACTGGAACATGATGAAAAGAGAGCAACACGCTCACAGGCAACCCATGGTGCGATGTGCCGAGCGTAACCGCTCTGGCCAGCTGATTACTTATTGATGCTGCAATTGGTGCCGTTATCAGCTCAGCTCATCTTGTGTCTCGCATACCTAGGTCCTCTGCTGAATCCCCTTATCGTGTTCTGCCGTACTGAGTCAGAGCTGAAGCAGTGGCTTTATCACCTGGAGAAACAGATCCAGCTGAATGGAGGAAGCCTTGGCTTGCCCTTCCTTTCTCAGGTTAGTGTCTCGGGACGTTTCCCATGCTGTGGGCTCAGAGCTGAACGACCTGGGAAGCTGGGCCACTTGGGAGGATGCTGCACCGCTCCTGCTGCGTTCTGTGGGAGGGATAATCTCTGCAGCCAGCCTCTCTCAGCCATTTTCACCACATTTCCAGGTGCTCACCTAATTCCTTCCTCTTCCAGAATCCTGAGTTTCCCACGGGGCTCTGGGCACCTCCTCCAGGCTGGAGAGCTTGAGCAGAGGGCTGGGGATGGAAAGGGAGAGGGGCTCTGGGTCCACTTCCAAACACTTCTTTCTGTACTTGCTGCTCTTTCAACATGTTGGAAGGAGATGTGGGGTTAAATCCTGGCCTGATCCCCTTTTTCCAGGCCAGTCCTTCACTAACATCAGTCAGGGACCTGCCCCTCCGGTGTGATGCACAGGGGTTTTGGTGCCACTGGTACCACTTCCAGCGGCTGCCAGGGCTGTGCACCCTCTGTAATTCAGCCCTTCTGACATCTGGCAATTGAGCCCTCTCCACCAGCAGCACGTACCAGCCTTGCCAAAACACTGGCCTGGGCCAGGGCAGCAGCATGGCAAGGGCCTCTGTATGACCCCGGCTGCTTGGTGCTGAGGCATCTGCCACTCTGCCAGTGCCTAGAGCTGGTCCTGGGCAATATCCCTCACCGCTCTCGCTTCCTTCGGTATTCCACCACCCCTAAAATAACCATGGATAGACAGGCTTATTACCCACACTTGACAGACGTGGTCTTGCTTGAGAGCTCCTCTGCCTGTGAAGGAACCGTGTATTTGTGGTTCAAATGGTCTTAAGGTCTTCGGTCTGTGCAACCGGTGCCGGAATAAGTGTGGGATTTCAGTCTGAATGGCAACCCCAGAGGTACCGCTGAGACCTGACAACAGCTTGCTGCATTTCTGCTGCGTGTGTGTGCGCGCACACCGCTTCTAATTTTGGAGCTTGCCTTTTGTGCAGTCTCCTGTGAGGGAAGGATGGAAAAAGAAAGAAGACCCTTTGGAAGAGGGTCTGGCAGGGGGAGTGTGCTGAAAGGGAGACCTGCGACCCAGAGGTGTGACCATCACAGCCTCTGAAGGGTCAGCGGTTTGGGTCTGGTTCAGAGAAATTCTCACGCAGTTGGCTGCTGGTGCAATTATCCAGAGTTTACAAAGCATTTGGAGGAAAAAACCGGGACCGGGGCCTAGAAAACAGGATCAGACTCAAGAGACCTGTCTTCTCTTCCAGTCTCTGTGGGGTGTTTTACTTCCCTCCCTGTCTCCATCTCCCCACTTGTAAAACAGAGGTATTGCCCTTTGAAAGGCAATGTAGAGATGATGCTAGGTACCAAGTATTACTATTCAGTCCCAGTTGGAAAACTGGCTCCGGCACAGATTTATTTACTCTTTCCTGCTTCTGCCACACTTGAAAAGTGTCTGAGATAGGCCATGCACTAGCTAAACTCTTAGGGGAGGACATGTCTACCCCGCTCCTCAGTTCTGCTCCTGTCCCTAGAACGACTGGAAGCAGAGCTCCGTGGGGAAGGAGGAGCTGCGGTGGTCCGTGCAGAACATGCCTGTCCAGGAGTGGAGAGGGACCCAGCGGGAATCCCTAGGCGATGTCCTCTGTGTTTCCAAAGTGAAGCTTCAGCATCTGCCTTTCCAGGTAGGACACATCTCTGGGGAGCAACCCCCCTGCCAGCACGGCTCAGAAAAGGCAATGGATGGAGTGACTAGCGCCGACTCCTGCCTACCCACGGCCGCTAATCCAACGGCTCCCTGAAGGGTCATTTTACCCACATCCCGATAAATGAAAAAAGGTTTGTTACTGCTCCTGTGGCTCAGCAGCGGTGCTTGGGGACGTGCGTAAGCATTTACAGGACAGGGCTGGCAGCTGGAGCTGGCAGGAATCTCCCGTGGAGCCCCGTTGCAGGGAAGCAGCTTGGCTGTTTCCAGAGCCCTCGCTTCAGGCAGCTGTCAGCGAGACACAGTGAAGGGCTCTCCGGAGCTGAGCCCTGTCTGGCTGTTCACAGGGAACCCTCTTCCTCTTTTACTTTCCAAGGAGCAGCATGACCGGCTGTTGGTGCTTTACCCATCCACGCTGGTGATAGTATCTGAGGAGCGCAACGGCCTCTGTTTTAAGGTAAGTTCATCCATCCACAGTGGCTATTTCAGCACTTCTTGGGCTTGTTGCTCCCCTCCGCCTGGGTTCCCTTGTGCTCCTGGTGTTGGCAAGGGCTTTCCCTCCACGCTGCTCCCTTGCCAGCTGGCAGGTGAGCAGGCAAAGGGATGTTGCAAGCTATCTTCCCATGAGAAACACCTTACCCTCCTACAAAAGCCCGGGAGGAAAGGAGCTGGCTGCCAAGGAATCTGAGTCTCTGGGAGGAGGGAGGCTGGCATACTTCTGTGTGGTTATGCTGGCAGAGAGCCTGCCTCGCTTGCTTGAGAGAGGAGCTGGAACAAGCCCCAGAGGATGCTCCTGCGGGGGCTTCGCTTCCCGGGCCCTGCTCTGTGGGACCACTTGGAAGCAGGTGGCATCATCCAGGCAGCACATCTGATGCTCGTGGGGAAGGGCAAAGGCAAATTTGGCTGGTGGGCAGAGAGGAGAGGCTGCTGCTGGTGCATTGTGTTTGCTG